AAAATAAATGTGTCCATTTTTCCCCCCCCCCCCCCCCATGTTAATGTCAGCACTTACCCTAAATGATGTCTCCTTAATCCGATCTTCTTTCCTGATGTTTTCATCTGTACCTCCAGCGGTGCGGCGGCTCTCCGATCCAGCGCTGACTCCTCTCTGCTTGCAGGCACTTCCAATCCAGCGGTGTCTGCATGCGGGTGCCAGCATCCATAGACTTACCTTGCCTCTCTGCTCGTCTCCCGGCTGAGAATACGAACTGCGCATGCACCTGCCCCAAGGTCCTTTGCGGCCGCCCGAGCAGTTCCGGATTCTCGGCTTGTGAGCGCGCAGCCTATATCTACTGCTTGCTAGCAGTAGATATAGGCAAAAAAACCAGAGGCTTTAGAACCCCTTTAAGTTTCCAAGTTTCTGTGCTCCTGGGCCTGATAGCATTTTTTTTTTTTTTTTTGCTATGTTGCCCACCCCTCAGTTGGACTGCTTTTGGACATCCCGACCGTGAATTACTTCCTGTGTCTCTCAATGGACAGAAAGAAAAAAATCGGATTTTCGTAAAACAAAAGAAATTATCATTTCCATAAAATCCTTTTCTTAGAGTCCCACCCCTCTGTTTATGATACTGCTGTTGGTACTGCTTACTATATAACAGACATGCTGGTAGGTAGTAGGTGGGGTCATCCTAGGCTGGTCTACCTTTTTTTAGGTTAGGCTGTGTCTTAATTCTTCAGTAGCCGGCAGTATACCCTAAAGTTGAATGATTTACTGTGTCCTTCAATGGACTCCAAGAAAAGGATTTTATGGCGAGTACAAAAATCCAATTTTTGTGATTATTAAAGATACAAGTGGAAGAGGGACTCCTTAGGCAGTTTATATGCTCTTGTTTGGCATCATTCAACCCAAGGGGACTGAGGACATCAAACTCGTCACCCTTTTGTAAATAACTCTGTTGGAGAATGCAGGAGAAGTGAGCAATCTAGGCCAAAATAGCTGATTTGGAAAAACTCTCCAATTCAGCTCACTTTCCAGTTCAGCTATGTTGTCCTCGATTGTTCCCTTCTCCAAACTCTTCACCCTTTTGTGAATAGCCCTGCTAATGTGAAAAAGAAATGACTGCGGGGGACAGCACCAGATAGTAGGTGGGTATTGTAAGCAGAGCTGCTTATTTTAAAAGCAACTATTTGCCTGAGTTGGGCTTTATTGATGTACGCTCTTGTGCCAGAGACTAGTTAATGTCAGATTTTTACTTTGTTTATGCAAACGTTATGAATAAAATGGAAACCATTTGTTACAGCTACTGCTATTGATAGCATATGGATTCCAGCAAATCATAACAGTTCTAGATATTGTTTGAATCTTACCTGTTTTCTCTTGATGGATAAACTAACTTCAGTAGCTCCAAGACAAAAGCAGCAGTTATGACTCCCACAAAGAAAACTTCCATAAGGTTAAGTAAGACTGGATAAAGGCCGTTCCAGATGAGGCAGAGTTTATCTCTCAGATCATCTGCAAATTGGCACATCACCTAGAAAATAGCAGCAAACAGTAATTTTACATACAGTGAGGAGAATTTGTCAAAATCTGAGAATCTGGCACAGTCACCAATCAGGAACCAATTAGCTTCCCGCTTTCATTTTTTTTTTTTTTTTATTACTTTTTATTGATTGTCAAAGTTAATGACAAAATACAGAAAATCTTTTCTTGATTTCCCTTACACACTCTACCATTGTCCTTTCACTATAACATATGAACCATCAATACATTTCATTCCACAAAACCCCCTCCTATAGGAGGGACCTACTCATCTCCATCCAGCTAAAATCTACATATCGCCCACCTATAAAAAGAAACAAACAAACAGGTTTTATTTCTATATTGTTATCTTTATCCTCTCTAGATCCCCTCCTTCTCCCCATCCAGTTCCCGTTTGTCTCTATTTCTATCTATCCCCATCTTCTAAAAATACATACAGGTCTAATGGCATATATCCTTGAACCCAGGGTTGCCAGACTTTTAGTAAAGATTGTATCTTTCAATATCACTGTCGTTTTCTCATTTATTAAATGCCAGAACATATTATTTTTAACCTGTTGGACCTAGGCAATGCCCAACTTCCATACCCTTGCCAATGTTTGTTTAGCAGCTGTAAAGATATAGGTTACTAGTTTAAATTGGTCGCTCGTACATCCTTGTGGCTTTAAATTTACCAGTGCTTCCCATGGGTCCTTCCTAATCTCCCTTTCCAATACTGTCAATTAAATATTTCCGACCAAAAACTCTGAATTCCTGTGCAGTTCCACCATATACTGTATGGGCCATCGTGCCTTCTTCCCCACAACCCTGAAAACAGAGCGAAGATGTATTCTTAGCCAGTTTTGTGGCAACCATATACCATCTAATCATTAGCGTGTAGTTGGCCTCTACCGCCAAATCATTTTTTTAACAGTGGGCTACTGTATCCCAAATCTGCCGCCATTCCCTCTCTTGTAGAGGACTTCCTAATTCATTTTCCCATGCGGTCACATACTTTAGCGGCCGAGCTCTGTTGAAGATTTATAAATAGTCAAGAGACTAGCTTTTCCAAGGGGGTCTCTTATACACTCTTTCTAAATTTGTTAATTCAGATGGTAATTTCACATTATATAAAACCGAATCAACAAAACTGTTCAGTTGTAAATTTCTAAATACTTCTGAATGAGGAAGTCTATTCTTTGCCTGTATTTCAGAGAAGGGTATTTTTACCGATTGGAACTAAATCATATATTTTTCTCAAGCCCGCCCTTTCCCAATTTAAAAATCTTACAGGTTCTTCGTAGCCTGGGAGAAATGATGGATTGTTTAATATCGTTGCCAAAGGCATGTGCGGTGACATTAATCTTCCAGAGTATCTGACATCTCTCCAGACTACAAGTGAATGTTTTAGGATTGGATCCCTCTTTCATTTGAAAAGCTTATCTGAAAACACTGAACAGTAGCTGATTGTTGATATGTGCAACTTCTCCAGAGTTTGTCTGCTCCAGTTAAATTCCCCCAATATCTTTTTCAGAAGCAATATGTTTTAATATAGTAGCTGACACTGAACACTAAGGTTTTGAATGTAAAACAATCCAGGCAACAAATGAAATCACTAAGTAGGTTGCTAATACAAACTAGCAAGCCTTGCAACTGTGTTTAGGGTGGTAAGTCTCTTTAATTTAACTAATTTCAATGTAGTCCTTAACAACAAGATTTTAGAGAGTGCCTCACATGCAGGTGGTAAATCTGTTTAAACTTAAGTCAGAATTGTGTAACTTCTTAGCTCTGCCTAATATTTGCATGGCCTTGCTTTTAAAAAATGTGCAACTGTATACTGCAGTCATTTTTGTCATGCCTGCCGGGATATACCCCCTGGAAAACCTAGCTATCAGCATAAATAGTTGCTGGCATGAGTGATGACATCACTCTGGACAGATGAACAAACAACATTATGTAAGATTCATCATTCCATCATCTCTAGTACGAGATTTTTTCCCTAAAAATGTGCCAGATTATATCTGCTATATGCATGGCACCATCTAGTGGCCAAAATAGAGGGAAAAAGGGATTACAGGTTTTATCTATGTTTGTAGTGAGGTGCAGAGTAGGAGATGCCACACAGGTATGCGGCATGACAGGGACTGTTAGAGTCATGTGGGCCCCAAACACGTATGTTTTTGCACAGAGTGGGTTTACAGTTCTGTACAATGTGAAGGGATTTTGTTCTTATTAAGAGTACTTAAACCAAAACTCCTAGACATTAGCTCACCTTATATGATGAAGATGGGATCACTGCTTGGAGAGGGGTTTCTGGAAGCTTTCCTGGAAATGGATCTTCATCTATAGTTGTGTTCTGCCTTACATTATACTCCCTCGTGGTTTCCTGTGGAACGCTGTCACCTGCTGGAGTGAAAGAAGTCAATACACCCTTAAACATGTTATGAGAGAAACAAGAAAGCTACCTTTACCAAAGTCTCTTTTTGAAAGCGCCAATTGTCTGGCTGTCATGCTGACCCTGTTGCTTTTGAGTATCTGACCTGAACTGTATATCTACATAAGGACTACTGACTTTCCTAATCTGCATACTTCAAGGTCAGGGACTCAGGAATGGCTAATACCAGAGGGTCAGTGCAACAGCAAGTCGTTTAGCATTTTCAGAAGTTCTGCTTTTTCTAGACATGTCCCCTGAGAAAACCATGGAGGCTGCCTTTGCCGACTCCTAATTCTAAAATTGCTAGCTACCTAGCTGTCATGATTACACTCTTTTAATAATTCCTAGTGCATTCCAAGTTGTGCAGATAAAACTTTTGACTTTACTGTTACTTTCTCTATATGCATTCTTGGGTTCGGATTATTACTGAAGCCACTGCATCAGCAATAGCAAGCCCCTTATTTTGCTTCAAATTTAAAAAGGGACTCCATAGTGCTTTTACATTTTTAATATATACATTTAAAAGTGACCAACTTAATGCAAAACATCTGGATTGTGCTTTGAAAACCCTGTTTCATAGTTACATTAATATATGGACCTGGGGGCAGCCAAATTTGCACATAACTTTACTCTGGGAGCAGGGAGGGAAAGTGATTGCATATGTGAAACACAGAGCATCTTCCAGTGGTCACTGTGCAAATCGCAATATTTCATACATTAAGGCTTCATGCATATGGGCCACATTCAGCCGGAAGGACTTCCTCTCCTTGAGTCAGCAAACAAAAGTATGACCGCATACAATTATACAGTTTTACATATGTTCATATACTGAAGATGAAAAACGCATGCAGGCAGGAAGTAACAATTTAACTCAGCAATGTACAGAAAGTAGATACATCATTTGTTCTTTAAAGCAGAGCTCACCAGCTTGTGGGATATTGGGAAAGGTAAATAAAACATCGCTGGTCCTTGGAATGGAGTGAAGCCAAGTATCATTCAAAATGACAGCGGACATCATGTGCTGAAGTACTTCCATAGTTGTACTGACTACAAGTTCCATCTCCGTTGTCACATTTTGATAAACCTGTGCAAAAGAATAGAAAAAACAAACAAAGCAAAACACTGTTGGTAAACCCTTATTGTGTTCACAAGCATGTAGGCAATAACATTTACATAATGGCATTAGCCATGATCTCCCTTTCAGCTCTTATTTACAGGCAAAATCCCCTGTTCCCCCTTCCCAGTAGAATTCAGAAATCAATACAATTCAGCTCCACTTAGCTTCAGCCTTGTGTTCCTCTTTGCCACTTCTTATGGAAAGAGGCAATTAAAATCAACTGTACTGCAGCATCAACAATAGGTAGCTTAATGCATTCAGCGCTCAGGGACCCTGAAGATCAGTGGCCAGGGTCTGCTTTGGACTTTTTATATTTTCTGTGCAGTGGTTCCATACCATTGTGAAGAACCGACGTTTTTTCATATTTGTATTGTAGCCAACTTCTGTCTGATGCTACCTTAGATTTCTCTGCCAAGCACAGATACTTGTATCTGTGTTGTAAAGATACTTGAGGGGACCTTTAGGGACCACATACAAGTGTATGTGATAAAGAATATCATAAGTGATAGCTATAATGGATTTACAATATACAGGTGTTAAAGTGGACCTTTACCCCCTTTTACTAAAAATCACAGCAGCATGCAGCTCTGCATGATGACTTAAAATCATATTAACTGTATTAGTTAAACTTGTTTTTCATATACTTATAGAGTTCATCTACTTCCTGGTCCAGTTTTGGCACACATGATGTATGTGCCAAAAGCGTTGTATCCTGGGACGATTACATCAGCAATGCATTGCTGGGAAATCTCATCTGTAATCTCATGAGGGAAAGTGAGAGCAATAATTCTAGTGCCAATATTTACTTGTATCCATAAACTGATGACCTGTAGTGACTTTTAAAGTGTCATCTATGGACTTTTTGGAGTACTAAATTTTGTTGCAGTTTATTGGACACATGCAATTTTTAACCTGGGCATGTTAGGCATCCATTTACTTGTCGTAACCTCATATTTTATATTTTACAAATATAAAATGGGCATTATTCATCCTCTTTGTGGTTCTTGATCGAGCTCCTGTGTAGGTTCATCCTGAGCTGCAGCTTAAGGCCAGTTTCCCCAATGTAACAACCTTTGTCACATGCTGAACACTGTATCATGTACACCACTTTAGCAGGTGTAGCTCAGGATGAACCTACACAGGAGCTCGATCAAGAACCACAAAGAGGATGAATATTGCACTCCAGTAGGACATCACTTCTCCCAGAAGGATCACTACATCCAAAACCTCAAAATTAAAGTACTAAAAAGGGAATTTGAAAAACTCTCATGAAAGAAAAACATTTGAGATGAAAATGATTTCGCATTTCAATGCCATAAAGGAGGGACTTAATGGAGATTCTGGTTTTCTGACACACTACCAGAACTTTTTATGAAATCTACAGAACATCCCAATATTCATGTATGTTGTAGATCTCTGATCTGTTTAGGGTTTATTTGTCATCCTACGCTTATTTTTTTCTGTCTTTTGATTATCAGGAGGCATTTTTTACTTCCACGTCCAACTCTTATGACACCCCACTAACCCCCTCCCCCTGCTCTAACAGCTTTCTCTTGCCTTAACTGACAAACTGTCATGTTGCTTAGTATTGCTTCTGACCTGAAGAAGAGAGGTTCACAATACTTTGTATGTATGTATGTATGTATGTATGTATGTATGTATGTATGTATGTATGTATGTATATA